AAGGACCAATTTAAGACAACATGAGGGTTACTACATTAGTGCCAACAGATAGACAGACAGAGACAGCTATGAACTTCAAGTAAGCTAAATATTGCATCAAGCTGCTAAAACTGGAAATGTGGGCTTATTCATTGCACATCTTCCACAATAACCATGTGCATCTATGCACTGCATACATTATGTGCAATAGTATTTGCTTATAATTCTGTCCAAATGGCAAATCCAATTACTAAACCTTCTTTTCAATTTGCAGGCTGAGAGCGTTATGAATGTACTGGTTAGAGACCAGACAGACAAGCTTATTATAGCTGGTTATTACTTCGCGGGGCGAGGAAGATGGGAGCAGAAAAGGACGAACAGACAGACAGACAGTGTATGGCAGGACAGACACAAAATACACCCTTTACACAGCAATAAAAAAGACAGGAAGGCAGATAGAAAGAGCTAGAAAATTACTGGGAGACAGACAGACAAGTAGCTAATGGACAAAGAGAAAGAAAGTAGATAACAGATTCCCCATCATTGTCTACGTTGCCAGCATTGTTCTGCTGTCAACAGTCGTGCCAATAAGCCATGATTGAATTATTCTTCTGGAAGCTAGCACACTAAAGCCCTCTCGTGATAGTAAACACCCATCCACCTCTATGAAGTGGAGCTGAGAGGAGGCTGGATTTGATCCAGCCCATATTTACACAACAATAGTCACTTCTGGTGCAGTTTGAGTGTCTATTACAATCTCAGCTCATGATGAGGAAGGAAGTATGGGCTCTACTTCTATTAGCTGTCATTTAAATTCATCTCAGCTAATGTGCTCCACTACAGCATGTACACTATATATGCATGTTCATGTGCACAAATATTACTTTTATTATCCTGAATCACACGATTCAGGTTATTTTCATCATTCATGTTATCAGGTTACATCCACTGATTAAGGAGGAAAGCTAAATATGACGAGTAAGAAACCCTGAAAGGAGAGAGTTGGAAAAGCATTTGCTCTGTGTATGAATATACAGACTGGATTTACATACGTGGACTGCTGTGACCCCCTTTAAACATGTGCAGAGGTTTACTTCTTCCATGTCACGTTTCTGTCCTTCAGCATCATAAAAATGACTGTGTGAGACGTATTTTTGAACGATGGATGTTTGAAAGTGGCGAGCTCCTTTTGCGATTAATCTCTGGAGAGGGGGAGAGCTCTCTGCTGCATGGACCTAAACTGCGATTCATCACAGCTGATGCCAAACAGTTTATGAAGTACAGAGGCTACAAGCAGCTTTCAGCAGCATTACGAACAGGTTGAGATGACTGTGATTGACTGTGTGGGAAAAACAGCTTTTTCATCCCAGAACTTTGCTCAGAATCATCATCAGTTTAATTTACTGAAGATCAGTGAAAGATTACCTTCTGATATTAGTAAGATTGTTAGACTGCCTGCTATAGATTTTAAAAAGTTCTAAAAATTTGCATTACAATGACCCGAAACACTGCGCAGTGCAATAGCATCAGATGACCCTTCAAACCTTAGATTTGTTACTAAAACTGTCCTTGGATCATTTTTCATCCTCTCAGCTGTACCTGTAGCCCCAAACCTGCCCTGATAGAGCACCTTGTGTTTTCCAGCACAGGCTATTTTCTGTCTGAACACCTGCGAGCCCCCTTTCTGTAAGATCGTGGTACTTAAAATAAAATAAAATATAGTGCTAGCTAGCATCCTGTAACATTAAACATAAAAAGTGCAAATCCTGCATTAAAGACATGCAATTTTCACAAAATTAAAATTTATTGCAAAAATGGTTGCAAATGCTTTAAATAATTGTACACATACATTTCTTACTCTAAGGAGACGTAAATGTCTTTTAACAGAAAAGTGAGGCTTGAAATCTTGAGAAGCTGAAGTTGTTGCTACCTGCGAACAAATCTCGCAAAAGTAAAATCTTTAAAGCTGTGTGTGCGTTAGCTTGTATGAACGTGTGTGTAACTCATTTGCCTGTGAATCAAATCAAAATTACTTTTGCTCGCTGTATCAGCCTACGAGCCTGCCAACCCCAGCTCCCTGCACTTTCATTCATTTCATTTCATTCATTCACCTCCTGTCACTCTCACTTCCTGCCTCTCTTTTCTCCACCTAGCTGCAATTAATCTGTTGCTCAGACCTTCCATCAGTCTGACTTAACCTACTTTCTTTCTCATTTACTTCTCCCTCTCCCCTTCTCGCTCTCGCCCTGTAATTTCTTTGCCTCTGTTAGCTTGGTTAAGTTGACATGACATTCACGCTGTCCGCTGAGCCTCGTACAAGCCCGTGACTTCTCGAGTTGTGGTAGTGGAAGTCTAATTATTTAACTGCTAATTAAGTCAGTGTGTGGCAGGAATGATCCAAACAGTTAAAGTTAATGAATTCAAATCTGCCTCCTGACATGCGCATCAGCGCACACACCAACTTTCTTTCTGATTCCACATTTTTAGTGTTTTAGTCGTTTTTTGTGACACAACAACAACAAAAGTGACCTCAACATGTAGATTAACTGTTGAACTATAACAAACATGGGTTTCATCCACATCCACAGCTTGTTCTGACGTCAGGACCACAGGTGTGAGAGTAGGTAGGGGCGAAAAACCTAGTGTCATGTCTGAAATGCTCCAGGCCATCACTGATTGGTCAGATACAATTGTGTCACTGTCACATAACCTGATCTTTGCTGATTGGCTGGGAGAAATCCATGTGGTTCTACACCCTGAGTGATGGGGAGGCCAATTTTGATGTCTTTTCTCACCCATTTAAGGGCTAAACCAAGCCAGTGTTGTGCACATGCATTTTGAAGCACTTTGCATTGGGGGTCGTGAACGTACCTTTGTTGTACATGTTGGTGGGCACTTGCACCACGCTGAGGTTGAGGTTGACTGACAAGTTGTTAAAATGGTCATTGGGTTGCAGGATAAATTCCCCTCCCAGCTCTACACTGTTCCCCTCCTCATCCACCTCATTGATCAGCACTGCATTAAAGTATTCATACTAGAAAGAGACAGAAAGAGAGAAACAGACATAAAACAAGGCACACACAACATAACAAACACAACACAGCTGAACAGTCCCTGAAGCTGCCACACAGAGTCGATATTCAGCCCAATCACTCGCTAGAATCCGATGCATCAGGAAGTAGGTGCGTGCTGTGGTAACCTGAATCCTTGGATGATCCCAGACGTGCATGTTGTTACAGTGGAAAGCTGCTGAGTTGACAGATCTCTCCTCAAACCTCTGAACGCTCCCTTTCTAGCTCGATGTTCTGGCTCTGGTGTATTTTTAGTACTGCGCATACTGGGGAGACTATTAATAAATCATAAAGCTGGATAAATATAGAGCACATGACTCCCAGCATCCCAAAGGCTCTTAAGTCTGAGATGCTTACAGGGCAACGCCTGCAAAGGCTGCAGTTACAGCAGAACAAAAGACAACAATCAGATGAACACAGCAAGTGAAGAAAAACATCTCAGTGTTTACATGGAAATAAACTATACAGACATATTTACATATACAGAGGAACAAGAAGCAAGCTGAAAGCAGCATGTTTAAATGTGACTTGACACTATTTTTGATATAAAAACAGTGTTTAGTTGTGAAACTGT